TAATGAATTAGTGTAATTATAGTATTCAATAAAGGTATCCGAGCTAATGTTTAATTTGTACTGTGGTCTGTTCACCAATAAACAAACAAACGTGTGTGTGTGTGTCATGTGCGTGCTTGCATGTGTGTGTGTTAAGGTGCTTAAAGTGTGCGTTTTTTTAAGTATAGAAATTAATTTATTAATGTTAATCCCATTAATTAAATACCTACCTACTTGATCATGTCAAGTAATGTCTAATAACATTAAACTCTTTTATCCTCAGGGCTCTTAAAATACCCTCTAGCTAATTATTATTCTAATCATAGATAGCTCAATGAACCACACAAAGTAGGTAGGTATTCTCAACAAGCCAATGGCGTTCGTTGAAAAACATTTTGGATTCTCAACGATAAACGCATGTTGGAACAATTAGGAGTAAACGCGGATGTGGTGACCATAATTTGAACGTTCCAACTTCGATATCCTACTGTCTCATTCATTATGCCATCCTAATGGTATGTATCACAATTATGAAGACACGTAATGGTAGGTTTCGTAAATGGTAGTGGGCGACTACCTCGACGGTGCAAAGTTAAATCACATTCAGTTCGTGATTCCGGAAGTGAAGCGACTACAACTACACATCAATCATCGCATGGGTCACCACAAATTTGTTATATTGAGTCGAGCTCCTGTGCAATCCGATAATGAACTAAAGGTGGATGGATGGAGGATCATTTGCCTGTAACCTGGATCTTTCAGCATGACAATGACCCTAAACACACGACCTATAGCGTCAAATGTTTCCTTAGCGAACAGCCTATATCCGTTTTAGACTGGCCAGCAAATAGACCGGATTTAAACTCGATAGATAATCTCTAGTATATTGTTAAAAAGAAAGTCTCAAACAATCGTAACACCAGTCGAAACGAACTTTATGAAGCATTTGTTGAATGCATAGAATTCAATCCCCCTAGAAAAATGTATGAAATTGATTGAATCAATACCACGTCGTTTCAGTGATGTTATTAGAAATAAGGGATACGCCAATAAATATTAATTATAAGTATTGGTAGGCTGTGGATAGCTATTTATAGCTATTTCGTAAATAACAATACTAATTACTAATACCTACTTAAAAAAATATTGTTTTTTATACTTTTTTGTTATTGTTTCTAATTAGTTCACATCTTAAAACTGATTTTAAATGTTTTATCCGTAATGCAATATTGAAACTGCACTTGTGTAATGGGATTTATATTGTTTTTCTAATAAATGATAAATCGTTGAACATACAGTTGTCCTATTTATCGTTTAATTTCAAAATAAAAACGATTGCGGCGAAGTATCTAACATAATGTAAAGGACCGTTGGTAGTGTTTCTAATTATACGACCACCACTGTATGTATATTAACTCGGAATGGGATCGTCACCTTATCAACTCAAGCCGTTCGGTATTCTTTGTATGAAACTCTACTGCAACGTACACTAATCGGCATCATAACGTAATCGCCTCGCCTTGGGACAAACTCCCGAAGTGCGGTGCGGTGCGTGGTCAACTTGCAGTTCCCGCGTTTAAGTTTCTCTCACTGATTGGACTGGTGCCGTCTAGCCGTGAACCAGCTGTCGGCAAGCCGCAAGCGTGGCATCTTATGATCAAGGCTCATGGTTGTTGGACGCCTATTTGACGACAAGGCTAGTTGGAATCAATCTGCTCCCTACCTTTAGGGTTCTCTACGGAAAAGGGTGACGCGGAAACTATGACAGTGGAGGCTGTTTAGATGAACGAAAGATGTAGACAGAACGTTATGATGTTTTCTTCTCGCTCTAGTGAGTTAATCTTGTACAATGGTACAGTATCCTTTATGTGCAAATCCGACTCGCATTTGGCCGGGTTTTTTCATCAAATGTTTCGCGTTATGAATATGATTGCGACGAGCTGCGGGGCGCTACACGTTGAGCCCGTCCACCGGACACAGTGCCTAGCCGGGACGGACATCCGGCGATAGGTACTGACCTTTTATACGTTCATTTATCATTAATGAGTGTGTATATTTGATTTGTAAAGTTGTTACATTATACTTTTAATGTTTTGGAGTTTTTTTGCTCCTTTTTCTCTGCAGCTAAAAAATATGTCCAATAATGAGTAAGGAAAAAAAATGTTTCGACGATTCAAAAGAGTTGTACTGTATTCAACTAATGTTTGAGCGCGTAGTTGTTGAAGGGTGTAAACACTAAAAATTACTAATACATCTTTAATGTCCTAATGGTGCCTTACTTCAGATGATTTATTCTCTCAAGATTAATACCACTTTTTTTGCCTGTCTGTATTCAATCAGGAAGTATTTTAATTTTTATAATTCAGCTTTTAATTTTCTGATTATTTATAGATCACCTAAAAATTTAAATGCCCCAAAAATATTTATACTTCTTAATATTTACATAAAACTAGCTAACATTGTAGGTGTTAGGTCACAAAAATTAAAACAGGCACCCGCTGCCTATTACACACTTTTGGTTTATGAGCTAATTGTTGTTCATAAATAATTTTATCTATGAATCTTATAAAAATACCATTTTAATACAATTACGTACAAATTTGCATTACAATTATTTATAATAATACTTGATTGAAGGTTAAGGGTCAAGTTATCTGGTGCAGGCCCATTATACACATGCTTTATAGACTCCCAAAAGGAAACTTTAAAAAATCCAAGATTAGAGAAAGTTTTTATTGTTTCTTCAACTTAAGTCAAACTCAAAAGTTAAATGACTTCTGTACATTTTTAAACTTTCGCATTGCATAATATTATAATATTTTACTGGTTAAAATGTGCACTTAAATAAACAATGGGGTTAAGAAGGTACAAACAATTTTATTAAAGTGTGCATTTTATTAAATACCCTAGATACACCAACAGGAACAAAATCGTGGCCGAAACCTGTCCAAAAGGTACATTGAACGATCCACGGAGCTCCTAAAGATGATCGCATAGTGAAAAACAATATAAGCCATTATTTAAACATTGAAAGTCACTTTTAATGCATACTATATAAAGTCGTAATTTAAAAAGCATGTGTCAAAGAGATACGACAATTCGAAATGCAAGCTTGTAAAACAAACATTGATTGAATACCTGTCGAAAAAACGACACTTAACATACTTTAAAGAATTGTTTTCGTATTTTTTGATGGAGCTCTGCGTCATCTTTATTTTTTAACAGTCTGTGAGTGACTGTGAACCAAGAAGTGCTTGAGTTGTGTGCAAGCACTTCTTGAATAGGACACATTTTGGTCATTTGGTGTATCTAGGGTATTTAATATCGTTGATTTTAACCAATATTATATATTTAAAATTCTTATTACAAAACTATACTTATAGATCATAAGACTACAATTTTATTGTAAGAGCAAAACTATACATAGACATGAAGTATCGTTCTGTTTTGAACTGACCTGGACTCAAACTTGTCCTGTTCACCCAGGAAAACTCAAGGGTTTCCAGGGCGGGACTAGTGTGAATAGGAATACAATTCTTACTCAAACAGCAGCCACTGTGTTAAAACAAATGTGTACCTCTGATAAATGCAGCAATAACTGAGCATTTTTGTGTGATATGTATCTTTTTTTTTATAAAAAATAATTAAAACTTTTTTTGGAAAATTGTACTTGTTGTACCTGGAATAGACACTTCAAAGTTTTTTGCTCTGTTAACAAAATTGTGTAAATACTTTTATTTATCTCGCATTCGCCTTTTGCTACCAAGACACACTCGCGTAGAACAGGCACGCTCGCTTAGCTACAGAAATCTGAATATCATTTCAACCAATGAGTTAAAATAATTAGAAAACATGTCTGCTGTTAATAAACTTAATCATGCTACTATATTTGTATATAGTCTCATTGAGACCTGTCAAATGATACCCATATTGTAGTTATTAGAAGACTTTTTTTTATATTGACATAAACATTTGAAATTTTGACATTGCTGTTATTTCAATTTAAACAGTCTAAGTATTTTATGTTATCTGGGATGGTGAAAGGATTCTAAGGATACCACACACATCTAAATATAAATTGGTTCAGTTGTTTAGAACTTACAGTGGAATAAAGAATTGTACATACATACATGAACCCTGAATACATTATTACACTTTTTTTTATTTGGGCAGTCATGTAAAAATCTCATCACACCGCAATTTTTGTTTCTATCCAGAGTTTATGACTCCAGTCCCATTTGAAGCCTACTAAATTCATAACATAAAATTATCCATATTTTTTGACACTCTAATAATCTTATAATATCAACGACACTTACAGGAATTTTTCACCAAATGTCCAAACATATATTTTTTACTGTTCCCTAACATATTGCATTGACAAAATTTCTATGAAAACTTTTCCATATAAAATTCAGTGATGACAATATGTAAACGAGTAAAAATTTATTCTTGTGTCTCTGAACTGTGTGGTAATAAATAGCTTAGACAAACAGTATCACTTACAGCCGTAATCAGAAAAATTTAATAAATTTAAATAGTCTTGTTCTATTCTTAACTTAGGTCAACTTAAAAGTTAATTAACTTCTCTGAGTGCAGCCAATATAAACATTAATGCATTAATTATTCAATCACCAATTTATCAGAGCAAAACTTAAAACAGACAGGCTATTATTACCATACCCTTTTTAGTTTCTGTTGCTGAATATAAACTGAATAATAATTTAATATTTTCTTTTGCACAGACAATTATTTAAGGAAACTTATCATTAACTTAATTTCTTGTAATAGGAGTTATTGCAAGAATATGTAAAAAAGCAAAATTAGTTTAATAGCATAGAATTATTTTCCAAATTATTTCTTACTAAATCAGCTATTGACGTAGCTGCTGAGTATGAAGTTCCGATTGAATACAAATTACAGATGAATCACATACACATAAGGTTGGTAAATGCAACCATTTACGAACTTAGAAAGAATTGCAAATCAATGATGATAAATATCAAAAACTTCGGACTTACTTATTATTAATGCGTCGACATTCTCCTTTGTTGAGACTATTAAAATAAACAGGCACACTAAATACAAACACCACACACAAACATAGGACATTGTAGCACTATTAGTTTTTAGAAACTAACAAATGACCAAACTATGGATCGTGGAATTATTTGTTTAAATAATTAAAGGCACTACATGTCAATCACCCAACGCACGGTTCGACCACTGTTGTCATTTTAATAAAATACCTAATTTGCGTACACTCAGTCCTCTAAAGATTCGAGCCAAGATGTCTAGATCCACGCAACAACACGGAAGGAAAACCGCAACAAACGTATACAAGATAAAACCAAACAAAGGCGAAGGAAGGAATTGAATGAATGAAATGAAACGAACGCAGAACGAAACGAACGAACCAATGTTGGATTGGAACGAAAGAACCAGTGCTGCCAAGTTTTTATTTAACTTTACCCTTTACACGTCCGACGATAGTCATCGATAAAGGGGGTCGATAAATAATAATCAACAAATATTAAGCTTGGATTATATCATCACTTCATCACACAACACAAACAAAAAGTTATGTAAATAACATTTTAATTTTGCAAAGTTGTGAACATTCTTAAGTGTCACTTAAAATTATAAATTGCTTAGGAACTTTAGTTTACCTTATAAAGTCCTATTTTTAGGAACATAAAATATTGAAATAAAATATATATTTCTTAATAATTAAAAAATGAAAGTATTTCCCTTTTGGATCATACAAAAACTGCTAATGCTCAACTGTGTCCCATACAAGGAATGTCCATCTTAATTTTTTTTAGTAATATTTTAGTATTATTCATCGTGTATAGAAATAATTATACATGCTGAATGCTTTCATAGTAAGATTGAGCCCCGTGAGAACAAAATCTTTTTAAATCCATTAAGTCTTTATACTTTTCTGCACTAATATGTATAATGCTGTTATAGGAAAATTTTGGCAATTAAAATTCATTTGATGTGTCTGATCCCGTTCCCTTTTTGGCATTATGGGTGATTTCTCCCATATACCATTATAATTACTTCTGTGTAGAATAACTCTAGGTAGTTCTCTTACACACATCAATTATCTTTGGGACTGCACAGGAAATGAGCATTTATACAAATATTGATTTTGAAAAAAAAACTGTCAGCTTGGACATTCCTTCTTACATTCCGTTACACTATAAACCTTCCCAGTTTTGTTCCTGTATACAGTTTTGAGACTTAAGTAATACATCTGACTATACGCATTTTTACGCTTTTTGTGTAATACTAAATAAAAATAAGAGGGAAAAAGAAAGTATTGCCATTACAAATTAACTTTTTGCATTTTAGTGACATTCCTGGTTTTGCACCTGTACTCTTCACTTGTAATATGAATTAACATAACCGCCAGAAGCCAATTTTTCAGGAAAGGCAAAAAAGTAAATTAAAAATTAAAATAAATGTTACAATGTTTATTAGCAATCTATATAAAATTCTTGTGTCGCGGAGTTTGTGGTTAAACTCCTCCGAAACGGCTCCACCGATTTTCGTGAAATTTTATATGCATATTCAGTAGGTCTGAGAATCGGATGAAATCTATTTTTCATCCCCCTAAATGTTAAGGGTAATCCACCCCTAATTTTTTTTTCAATTTTAGATAAAAAAAAATTTTTTATGATACATCATACAAAAATAAATATAATCCAAAAATTTCGCCCTTCTACCACCAACCCCTATTTATTTATGGCGGTACGAAGTCCGCTGGGTCAGCTAGTAATATTATATTTATGTGATCTTTTAGATCTTTAAAAGCCAGCTATTAGTTAAGAATATAGCATGGTGCTTACGTTATTTTTTTCTCATAAAGTTGTGATTGGAATATAATTTAATATTATTTTTTTGTTTTTTCTCATACATGTGTCATTATAGTAAGCATAAATAAAACACAATACCCCTTACAAATAAACAAGGTAAAGGCTTAGACTAGTTACGGCGTGTTTTGTTCATGTCACTCAAAAGTCATTAGTCATTCAATAGACCGAGACAAAACATGGAATAACTAATCCAAGCGTAGTCTTCGTTTATTAATAATGGGGAATAAGAACAGATTAACGCAAGAAACAAAAACCTAAGAAAAATTAAAGTAAGACACACCGTTTTTGAAATTTGGACATAAGTTACTAAAATTGATTATTTCTACTGAAAAAATATTGATAATTTTCCTTAAAAAAAGGAAGTTTTACAATTTCTACTGAATAATTATTCATAAATTTTCTTCAAAAAACAGAAAAAGACAGTAGTGTCGATACTAGCATGATTCTCTAAACCTAAACTTAAATTTGACAGCAATATATCCTTGTCATTCTCTATACAGATTGAAAAGGAGAGACTGATTTTAAATTTAGTTTTAAGTTTAAGGAATCACGCCAGAATTGGCACGAGTAATAGTTTTTTATTTATTAACACGTGAGGCGGAACGGCGGAACCGCCGAACTGACGTCACACACGCGTAAACTTCCGGTCAACATGATAATTAGTTGTACCGTTTGAGATTTAAATGACAGCCGTGTGACGTCACATACGACGGTATGGAGTCCATAAACACAAATTAATAACTGAACAGGTGTTCCAAACATTTAGTTTAGCATGTATACGTATTGGTATTTCAGTGTGAGCATAGATATACATGTCCATGCTTATAACCTTGAGTTATACACATGGTCGTACTATATCCTAAAGTTTGCCCTGTTTAGTTTTACTCCAAATATTTTAGGGTAAATTCTAGACGTTTAGTTGGCAACATTAGAACGAATGTTCTTTTTGCATGCTTTTTTATATTTTTTTCCCCTACTTTAAAGGCAAAGGATATTGAGTCCATAGATCCTCATCTAACGTATTTTTCATTTTTTCATTGTTTTTACCCTTTATCACATGATCCACGGACGCCAACTAATTAAAAATGATAAGGAAGTTTCAAACTTGTGGCGACTTTGCACCGCTTAAATGTTGGTCCATGTCGCCATACAGCAAGTGTCTATGGACATTCCGTAGGCACTGGCACATTAGAAATTAAGTTTTATAATTATGTTCTTTTTGATATTTTCTGTTGAATTTTTAATTGTCATTCTAAAAATAGACTTCAGATAAAAATTTCGTCCGTACAAATTGTATTTTATAATTGTGAATATTTTCCAAATATAGTGCTGATAAGTTGACGTATCGTCGTTTAATTACTCCGTTCCGTTAGAGGGGAGCAGCGGTTAAACATCCCCAAAAACTTATACAACTAAACTATTATTATCACGTTAGCATTGACTACCAAGAAAAACAAAAGCATTTCTGCAAATGAATTCGGCTATCATAATGTTAGAGTGAAACAGATTCTTTGGTTACTGAACCGGACCAAACCTTAGAGCATACACCAAGGGACCAAACCAACCAAACCTTTTCTATTAGCAACCTCAGTAAAACTGGCGCTTTTAGCATAAAGCTTTTAATAATGCTTTTAGGTATTTGGGTATTTGTATCATAGAGCATATACCAATGAAGATGGCATAGGCCGTGGAACCCCTCCGGCAAAATACGTGGCCATCGGACCATAAGCGTTATATAAAACTAGTTCACGCACGACCGCTACCATTTTGTATCGTTCAGTATCGCGAGTCAGAGATCCCACAAAAATAGATTATATTCGACACCAAAATCTTTCTTTCGTCGTTGAAATATGTTTAAAAAGTACTTTAAATCTATGCAGGTAAATAGCCACATAAAAATTAAAAACAATACGTATGTGGCGATTCTGGCATGCATAATAGGCTAGTTTACTCATGTCAAATTGTATTAAATAAATGTTTATTTCTTAAAGTATTTAGTCTAAGGAACCTTAATATATCGATTTCACTTCATAAAAGCAGAAGATTGCTGTAGAAATTTAATTTTAAAAAATATTTTTTAGTCTATATTTTTTAAACACTAAAAACGCTGTTCGCCACATCCGCCATGATTTTGACGTCTCTTCTGGTAAACAACTAAATGTCATTCGCGTGTTACTGTAGGTGGATTCTTTCGTCTGACTAAATTTATCATAAAACACTTTTAACTTTAGGAAAGAAAAAAACAGTAAACTTAGTTTTTTTTTGACAAAACTAATTATGGATGCCGGCTTTGTGAAAGCAGAAAGCACAAATCTGCCAAGAATTGACGCATTGATGGTTGGTGAATTTGTTGCACTAAACCCCGATTTCTGCTCTGCGGAGCAGAGAAACGACAAGGCATCTATGTAAGTACAGTGCATTTAGTATTACAATGTAGTAATAAACATAAAACTGATACAACATATGAATAAGTGTAATAAAGTTGCGTAGGTTAATTTCTTTCGGCACTTTAATCGACAACTTTCCTGGAGTCTTCAAGGATGTGTTTTTATATTCTCGTATAATACAGTAATGATAATTACTTTATTTTTCGTGGTATTTATTAGAAATCATGTTTTTGTTTATTATAAACTCAGTTAAAAGTAATTTTCTACCTGTTTACGAGTTTTTGTTTACGACAGTTCACGTCATAGCATAGATAATCTATAGACTAAAATGGCCGACAGCGTTTTTGTATGTCCATGAAAAGTCTATTTTAAAATTAAAGATTTGTAGCTTTCTAGGTTTAAAAAAAATACAATACATTTTTTTTCGGTCTAATAGAACATTAATTAACCATTTAAAACCTTTTTCCAAAAAGGGTCAACTAGCCTATTCTCTAAACTATGTTTAACATCAGTTACTTACTCCTCTTCATTCGGTATAAAGAAAGACAAGGAGACACTGGTGTCGATTCCGGCATGATCTCTAAATTTGTCATCAGTGTATCCCTGTCATTCTCTATACGGAATGAAAAGGAGAGACTGATGTTAATTTTAGTTTTAAGTTTAGAGAACCGTGAGAGAATCGACATCATTATCAAAAAAAAAATGACAGCAGTGTATCTTGTCTTGTTAAATTTATTATAGAGAATTATGCCAGAATCAACACCATAATTAACCTACTACTTTTTATTTTGTTTGTTTGTCTTTCGTTTTGTTCGTTTATTGGCAATACATTGATGTCATCAGCGTACAGGTAGAAGAAAGTAAATCAAATTATGTAGCTAACCACAACAAGCGACTTTTTTTTTTCTTTTTTTTTATAGATGTCCGACAAATGACTCCACCCCCCCTGATGATAAGTGAAGGTGAAGTCCAGACGCGCAGATAGCTGATACAGCAGTTCTACCTGCCACACCAGCCATCCTCACCCTGCCGGCCTGCATGTTGCTTCTTCACGCCTCATTTAAAGGATCCCAGGTTGTAAGAGGAAGGGAACACGTGAGCGGGTAGAGCATTCCATTTACGGATAGTGCAACAAAGAAATGAGTCACCAAAATTCTTTGTACGCGTTGGAATTGTCGCCACAGTTAAACGGTGACAACGTAGGCCAGCGCGCGTGGTCCTCTGTAGGAAAGGGGAAGGTGGAATAAGAGTGAATAACTCCTCAGAATACTCGCCGTGGTACGGAGGATAGAATGCGCTTAGTGACCCCTCGTCACGGCGTAATTGAAGAGGTTCGAGGTGTTTAGTCACCTCCTCATCACTTATGATGCGGATCGCGCGCCGCTGTAACCTATCCATAGCATCGAGCAAGTACTTGGCGAAGCCAAGCCAAGGACTTACCACAATTTCAAGAAGAAATAGAATCTTACGACAGCACTTCAGATCCAGAACCTGTGGAAATATCGGAGTGTGGGAAGCCAAAAAGAGACAGGCACCCACCAGCATAGACAAAAAAGTAAGTTCTTGATGAAGCCGAAGAAAGTCACTTATTTTCAGAGATGTCTTACCTTTCCAATGAAGATGAGAACGATGAACACTGGCACGAATTGTAAAGAAAACGAAATATATGAAAGAAGTAGACTATAAAATGGTACTTAAAAATAAAACAGGACCAGACAATAGTATTACCAGAAAAGCCAGGCTCGTAGCTCGAGGATTCACGCAAAGACCGGGGCTGGATTATAATAAAACTTACGCCCCCGTCACCAGATTAAGTTCGATAAGATCTGTTATTGGTCTAGCTGTGGAACAAGGATTAAAACTGAACCAAATGGACGTGACCTCAGCGTACCTAAATGGTGAGTTCGAAGAAAAAATCGTAATGAAGGGTCCTGAATATTTAGAAGAATATTTAACAGAAATTATTATCGATGAGAGTACGAATGAGGATGTGACGATTTATAATAAAACAGTAAATATGCTGAAAGATATAAAAAATAATGAAAAAGGAAAAGTATGCCATCTTATCAAAGCCCTGTATGGACATAAACAGGCAGGGAGGCAATGGTATAAGAAACTCGACACTGAGCTAAAGAATGTTGGATTTAAAGCTTCTGAATCTGACCCATGTATTGACCTACTGGAGAAAAGAGGAGCAAAAATCATAATTGCTTTTTATGTCGATGATTTATTGATTGCCTACTCATGTTCAAGGATGTTCTTAAAGATCTCCTTAATACAAAATTTGAATTGAAAGACCTGCATATACCAATGAGGCTCATTGGCATAGATATCACCTATGAAAATGGTGGAGACAGGCTGAACCAAGAGAGATTCATAGAAGACACACTCAAAAAGTTCAACATGGAAAATTGTAAGCCTGTATCAACATCCATAGAGCCAGGTCTTAAATTGGAGAAGAATGATAAGATAGAAAGAAAAGATGTGCCATACAAAAACCTTATTGGTACACTCATGTATATTGCCGTTGCAACTCAACCGGACATCATGTATGCCATCAGCTATCTCTCCCACTTCAATGATTACTCCGGAGAAGAGCACTTTAAGTCCGCAAAACGTGTACTAAGGTACCTAAAGGGGACGAAGACCGTTGGCCTTACATTCCAAAAGAATGGTCAAGATTTATATGGCATGGCCGATACTGATTGGGGTTCATGTAAAGTAGACCGGAGATCTTTTTCGGGTTATGTTTTCAAATATGCAGGAACGCCCATAAGCTGGATGTCTTATAAGCAGAGAAGTGTTGCCTTATAGACTACGGAGGCAGAGTACGTCGCATTCACGGAAGCTACAAAAGAAGCAATCCATCTAAAAGGCCTCTTCGAGGATTTAGGTGTTGAATTGTATAAACATATGCCGTATCTTTGGAACGAAAACGATAAGAATAACATTAATAATATTAATATTCTTTCACCCACGTTTTTCGGTTTTTACTTTATTTTATTTTTATTGAGCCAACGGCCAGGCCTACGAGAAGACAGTAGACATTTTTTGTTGCTTTGACAGGACTGGAGCCATTATGAAAAAGTCCGACTAAATTCCCTGCGCGCTTGTAACTGACTGAATCAGTAACTAAATTAGTCAAGTGTAATCAGAAGCTTCTAATTAGCATTCTTTTTAGGATCCTAACTAGGACGTCTGAATTAAGTCAGGTGGAATAAGTGCTTTATTCTCTATACAGAATGTAAAGAAGGAACTGGTGTCGACCTTGGCATGATTCTCTAAACTTAAACTTAAATTTGACAACAGTGTATCTTTGTCATCCTCTACACAGAATGAAAAGGAGAGACTGATGTTAAATTTAGTTTTAAGTTTAGACAATCATGCCAGAATTGACACCACTGATGGGTTAATTAAAATAGGCTAGTTGACCCTTTTTGGAAAAAGGTTTCAAATGGTTAATTAATGTTCTATTAGACCGAAAAAAAATGTATTGTATTTTTTTTAAACCTAGAAAGCTACAAATCTTTAATTTTAAAATAGACTTTTCATGGACATACAAAAACGCTGTCGGCCATTTTAGTCTATAGATTATCTATGCTATGACGTGAACTGTCGTAAACAAAAACTCGTAAACACGTAGAAAATTACTTTTAACTGAGTTTATAATAAACAAAAACATGATTTCTAATAAATACCACGAAAAATAAAGTAATTATCATTACTGTATTGTACGAGAATATAAAAACACATCCTTGAAGACTCCAGGAAAGTTGTCGATTAAAGTGCCGAAAGAAATTAACCTACGCAACTTTATTACACTTATTCATATGTTGTATCAGTTTTATGTTTATTACTACATTGTAATACTAAATGCACTGTACTTACATAGATGCCTTGTCGTTTCTCTGCTCCGCAGAGCAGAAAACGGGGTTTAGTGCAACAAATTCACCAACCATCAATGCGTCAATTCTTGGCAGATTTGTGCTTTCTGCTTTCACAAAGCCGGCATCCATAATTAGTTTTGTCAAAAAAAACTAAGTTTACTGTTTTTTTCTTTCCTAAAGTTAAAAGTGTTTTATGATAAATTTAGTCAGACGAAAGAATCCACCTACAGTAACACGCGAATGACATTTAGTTGTTTACCAGAAGAGACGTCAAAATCATGGCGGATGTGGCGAACAGCGTTTTTAGTGTTTAAAAAATATAGACTAAAAAATATTTTTTAAAATTAAATTTCTACAGCAATCTTCTGCTTTTATGAAGTGAAATCGATATATTAAGGTTCCTTAGACTAAATACTTTAAGAAATAAACATTTATTTAATACAATTTGACATGAGTAAACTAGCCTATTAGGTTTAAGTTTAGATAATCATGCCAGAATCGACACCAATGGTTTGTTTAATACGTCTATGGTCTAGACCCAGAGCCTCTGTATCTATTGAAGTCTATGGAAGGGCATTCCCGAGTAATTACATGCAATCTGTGTTTATTGTTATTGCACACCTACATAGATTGCATACGTATATGTGTGTGCCTATTTTGACGGCCCTTTTAAAATAACGTCCGTTCTGAATTTTAGTTCAGTGTTAAATTGTAGTGTTGAAGAGAAGTTGCTATCAAGCGATCGAGTGGACGGACGCCAAACATTTATACAGGTAGGTATCACGTACTCCTACTTTCTAAGTACATAATATGTATATTTTCTTGTTTATGCATATAAATAAATAATTATCTAATCTGTTTTACATTTATCAATGAAAAGTAAGAAGAAATCGTAAACCTAATAATGCTGAACGAGCCTCTTTAGTAAATGATCACTAACCTATCCGGCCGGTACCTACGTACCGTACCTATTATGTTAGGTTGGAAAGGTACGTAGATATTATAATTAAACATAAATATTGTTACTGTAATTAATTTAGCTCGATGGCGCAGGTGGTTAGCGCGTCCGGCTGCGATCGTTGAAGTTAAGCAACTTTCGCAGTGGTCGGTCATTGGATGGGTGACCAAAAATCTTCTATTTCGAGTTCCTCCGTGCTTCGGAAGGCACGTTAAGCCGTTCGTCCCGGCTGCATCTGCAGTCGTTAGCACCCGCCAATCCGCACTGGGCCCGCGTGGTGGGTCATGGCTAGGGCTGCCATCTCTAAAATGTGGCAACCAGGATAAGACGCGTGATAATCCCGGATTTTGAAGCCCAGGGGGCCAATCGCCTAACTGGATTGCTTTGGAAAACGCTATCGCTTACGATTTCATTTTGTTATTTCTAGCCCCCTGAGGTTTTCAAATGCCTCGCGCTCTTTTTTTTTCTTTTGCATTGGTAATAACAATGTTAAAGAAAATGAGTGTGAGGTATTTCGGCGGTTAGAAATAACAAAATGAAATCGTAAGCGATAGCGTTTTCCAAAGCAATCCAGTTAGGCGATTGGCCCCCAGAACCCGGACAGACCAATAAAAAAACAGCTAAAAATGTCACAAATCAACTTTTTTATGTTGATCTAGGCAAAAGAGCTAGCGGTCTACCTCATAATAAGTGGTCACTGCTGCCCATGGACACTTGCAGCACCTAGGGCCACTCATGCGTTGCCTTAAATTTTTAAACCCGGACTACAAATAAAACCCCGCCCGGACGCTCCCCGGACGCCCCGTAAACTAGGACAAATCCGTGGAAACCCGGACGGATGGCAGCACTAGTCATGGCCCAATCTCCCTATTCCATCAATAGCGAAGGCCTGTGCCTCAGCAGTGGGGACATTAAAGGCTGATGATGATGAATTAATTTAATACCTAACGTGATTCGACGATGAAAGTCCTTGGTTTGTTTGGTTAATAAATAGGTAAGCAACCGTTACACAAAGATCATACGAACCTACATTGTGTACGTACCTAGCTCAGATTAAACAAATCTACGGTATCTACCCAGATACCTAAATACTATGCTTAGATTTTAAATTAAATACGTAGCTCATTTCTGTAAAAAGCTGAAGGCACTGATGCCAGATTGGGGGATTCCCCCCAAATTGGGGGGGGGGGGGTTGAAGCTATGGGGGGAAGAAATTTGGGTTTGGGGGAAACGAGGGTTTTTTATTTTTATATAAAAAGAAAACTACTTCACAAACTTTTAATCTGTAAAAAGTCGCGATCAATAGTCTCTCTTTCTTATTCTGTATAGAGCATCACAAGGATAGACTGTTGTCAAAAGAAATTTTATTAGGCTAAGAGAACCATGCCAGGTTCGGGCCCGTTGAACTGTGTTCATTCAGTGAGCCCAGACACCCTTAAGTACAAAGTCACTTATAAAAGTATTCTTCGGTCCATTTCGTCTCGCACAGTCGCTCGGTCAGTCAAGTCAAGCAAGTCAGTCAGTCGTTATAGACAGTTAGCATAAACTGCAAATCGAATCGACACCAGGCGCGGTCCATAGGGGGTCACAGGGGACATGACCCCCCCCCCCCCCCCCCAAATCTAAGGTCTAATTAAAAAATCTCAAAAATTTGCCAAATAATAATAAAAGGAAATTTCTAGCTATCTCCTAACAGCGATAAATTTATAGTTTGCTGACATCTAGTGGTGTTTTTATTTACTACGAACGATGGCCAAAATAACTTGGAAATGACATCTACTACTAGTTTAGAAACAAGGAACCGAACTACGTAGTTTTGGTAATCCTAGCAAAACCGATATGCGTCGTTATGATAAAGATTGTATAACAATATTCTAATAATGTAATTTGTAGGTTTATTGTAAAAATTCAAGATGAAGGCTGTCTACTTAGTTAAAAACGTGGTTGAGAGCTAACATGTTAGAAGAGCGATTAACAGATTTAGCTCTTCTAAACATTCACCCGGAAATAGTAAAAGACGTCATAAATATTATCGCCCGATTCGCAGATACAAAAAGACGACTTCCATTTTGTTTTATAAGTAATGTATAAAATAAAATTGTGTCTTGTGCAATAATGTTTATTTTATTCCAGATACCTATTTTTAGGGTTCCGTACCTGAAAAGGAAAAAACGGAACCCTTATAACGTCTTGACAGACGGACGGACGGACAACAAAGTGATCCTAAGTATTAAAACGGAATTAAAACGGTGACGGAAGTATTAAAACCTACAGGGTTCTTCGCGTGAACTTAGCATCTTGAAATTTGGTACAAAGGAACGTCTTATAGTACAGATAAAGGAAAAATTGCGAAAGCCGTAAATATTTAGTTACATCATAAAATAAAATTTTTTTTGAATATTCAGGTGTGTACGAGACCCTCGGTGCGCGAGTTCGACTCGCACTTGGTCGGATTTTTTTATTAGTGTAGTGACCCCCTCCAAAATTTCAGGCTGCGCCTGATCGACACTATCTGTTGTCTTTGCTTTGCTAAGTCATAATTTGTCCTTTTATGTATATATATATATATATATATGTGTCATTCACTGTGTTAAACTGTTGTAAAACTTAAAACCTCGAAGTTACTTAAAACTGGCTTAAAACACTGAGGCGGGCCAAACCAGCAAACGCAGATAAATGGTTCATGCTCTTTCTTGTCCTAGAGACTTTTATCAGAAGGTAGGTATCCCAAGCACCTCAAGCACGAACAATGACAGATTCGTACTCGTTATATATATACGACGCCCCTGCCTACGTACCAAAATAGTGTTATTACACTGTGTCTCTGTAAAATGGTAGTAACTGAAGGTCTAGAGGACAATTCAAGCTGAGAATGCAGTAATCTAAATATTGTATATGTAGGATATTGTGGTGTTTTGTTTATGTTGGTGACTAAGATTCCGGGGTTTCCCGGTCTCTGGCTTGTGCTCAGGCTGGTAAAGTATAGATTATATGGTATGGCAGTGTAATAATTCACAATAGATGATGATGACTATTTTTTTTTCTTCGTTTATCAGGTAGATTAGATTAGTATTTGACACGTATTTTTTCTTTTTTCACATAATATAAACATTGCAGAGATATTGATTTGAAAAGTTGCATGACGTCACGTTTTGGTACACTTTTAACTGAAAATTCACTAAAAAGTGACGTCATGAGCCCCTACTCCCAAACTTTGACGCGCTTTAATGGAGGCCTCTTTAAGGCCGCTTTAATGCATGTACATGCATTACCATCATGCAAAACCTAGTGTGTATGGCCTCCATAACTTTGTCATTTTTGGTTGATTGCCCAAAGAAAAAATACGTGTCCATTATTTTTTGATCATCTAACTGACGGACTAAATAGAATTTCGTTTACTGTACCCTTAAGCCCACCATTCACTACACGCACCGCGAGCCGAACCCCGAGCCGTACCCATCCGTGGACAAATCCGTCATTGCCCACACACTACACGAGCGTCGAGTTGCAGTCCAGTCGCTTGTGTACTTTGGTGAGCCTCGCGCGTATCGTTCTTCCCTGTATGGATAAATTCTTGCCAAAACTCTTTATGATCGCCGAACGACATGTTATTATACTCGTTCATGATACAAACAACACAACTGCAGGCCAATTATGCTCGCTAATTGTGATATTGTTTTGATGTCAATTTCACATTACTCATTACGCTCTCCGAAAAATGCGATATCAAAATGACATCAACTTTAAAATGATATCAACTTAAATGCGTATTACGTTCAACTTTTTGACATAAAACAGTATCGCATAAACGTCAAAAATGTGATACAGACTTAACAAGTTAGGAGGTGGTTTTTCTGTATCAAAATCCTTTTTTTTTTAATAAAAAAGAGTAAAATGGCTCGTTTCGGGTTAGTAATGGACTATTTAGAACGACCTCATGCCGAGGACATGCGTAGAAGAGATAAACCCCTTGTAGAAGAGATACAATTAGCTCTTTACGTATTATGCTCTCCGAAAAATGCGATATCAAAATGGCATCAAATTAAGCGTATTATGATCTACTCTTTAAAATGACATTAACTTGATATCAACTTAAATGAGTATTATGTTCAACTTTTTGACTTAAAACATTATCGCATAAACGTCAAAAAAGTGATACAGACGTGATACAGAATTAACAATTTAAGAGGTCGTTCTGCGTGCACGCACTACAAATGACTGACAAGTTCGCCGACAAATCTGTGCAAGCACACACACGTACGGATTTGTACGGCGCGGCTGGGGTGCGGCGCGGCGCTCGCGTCTCTCGACGGCGAGCGCCGCGCCGAGCCGCGAGCCGCACTCACCAATACATTCACACGCGGATTTGTCGCCAGCGACAAATCCGGCGGATTGGCGCGCCCGTGAATGGTAGGCTTAGGGCTATCGAATATCGATGGACAAATCCGCGTGTGAATGTATTGGTGAGCGCCGCGCCGCACCCCAGCCGCGCCGTACAAATCCGTACGTGTGTGTGCTTGCTTGCACAGTTTTATCGGTGAACTTGTCAGTCAGTCATTTGTAGTACGTGCACGCAGAACGACCTCTTAACTTGTTAATTCTTAGCTCTTCTACAAGGGGTTTATCTCTTCTACGCATGTCCTCGGCATGAGCTCGTTCTAAATAGTCCATTACTAACCCGAAACGAGCCATTTTACTCTTTTTTATTAAAAAAAAAAAAGGAATTTGATACAGAAAAACCACCTCCTAACTTGTTAAGTCTGTATCACATTTTAGACGTTTATGCGATGCTGTTTTATGTCAAAAAGTTGAACG